TGGGCAGTGAAGATCGGAGCATCAGAGAGGCTTTACGAGGCACGGGGGGCGCTGGCTTCGGGGTCCCCGCCTCTAGCCCTGGCGGGTCCCCTCTGGGAGTCACCCACGGCCAAACCTTGGCCGGGCCCGGCGCAGGTGGGAGGGGAGGGCTTGGGAACCCTGCAGCCGCCCTGGGGCCGGGAGCTAGCCCGCCGCTGTCAGCCGCCCCCGAGCCCAGCGTGGCTCAGTAAGGCGCACCGCGGACGCTCCCAGCTGGCCGTGGGAAGCTGGCTAGATTGGCTCTCCCTTCGCACCCCTGCGACATAGGCTGCCTACCCCCCCCCCCCAAGGCGGGGGTTAGGGTGATTGGTGATCCTGGATGATCCCTGGTGATGGGTGATCCTGAGAACTCGCTGTGCCCCATGGAAGGGCAGGGGCTTTCCTGCCGTGTAGTCGCTGCGGAAACGTAGATGCCCTAAACACCTGCTTCATTCCTAGTGTGGAAGGTTCACCTGAGTGGGGGTTGGGGAGTGGAGAGGAGAAGTCCGCTTCCCACCAGCACCAAGGGGTGCGCCATAGGTTCCTGTCTGGCTTAAGGTTCTGCCACCACCATCTTGAAAGTCCTAATTCCTGAACAAACGAGCAGGCGTATTCTTTAATGCACTGGGTCTTGAAAATTTAAGTAGTGGTAATGACTAGCAGCAGGTCTGTCCACAGCCCCATCTCTCAAGGGAGAGAGAACAGGTCGGCCTGTAGGCCTCTTGGGTTTTTGAACCTATGTCCTGTCGTAGGCTAGCAACGGCCCTGGGCCCTCTACAATCTGTTTTTGAAGCTGCAGGCGCCATTGCTCTTTTCAGTTCGGGTCGTTCTGACTTAGGGCTCACGCTTTCCCCTTTAAATCACAAACTTTGTTTTAATTAATTTAGCAGTAGTCATCAGCAAACAACTTTGGGAATAGATTTCAATACACCATATCCAAAAACTCTGCATTTTGAGTTTCAACAAATCACTGATGGAAATATTCAGGGGGAAACTATGCCTGTACTGAAATGCACACATTTTTTCTTGGTATTATTCATTAAATAATATTGGATAGCAATGATCCATATACACTTACACGCTACCGTGTGTCACAAGGAAAATAGACATGGCTGAAAATGCATAGGCTATCTGTACACACTCAGCTACTTTATAAAAGAGCCGAGCATCCTCAGGTGGGAGTATGGGACAATGGTGTGTGTATGCAGTGGGTGTCAGTTCGGAAACCAGACCTGGAATTGTCTATAAATCCGTCTACACCTTATTCCTCAGGGTTCTTTCCAGGCCAGAGATGGGTCTCCCCCTAGTGTCTGGTTGGGGAATCCTCACTTTCGCTTTTCCCCTTGAAGGTAATTTTCAGGCAATTCCTAAAAATCCAGTGGCCTGGGAATTCCCAGCCTTCCTTGCTCCAAGGCCTCTCCTCCAGGGTGGTGGTAATCAGAGTCTCCTCCCTTCTTAGTTGGTAGCAGAGGGCACGCTCCTGGTCTCTCCTCACTCCATTCACTGGTTTCTGGGTAGTGGAAAAAAATGATTTAAGTACTACAAAGTGGGGAGAGCGGCAAGTGGGACACAGTGGTCCCCACTCCACTCCTCCACCCTGCCTCTTGCTCTCTCCACAGTAGTGCTTCAAACTTTGGAGGCCAACCAACCCCAGAGACCTTAAATGACAGTTTATCGGCTGCACCTCAAGTTCCTGTGTCAGTAGGTCTGGGCTAGGATATTTTGTGTTTCTAGCAAGTTCCCATGTAATATAGGTTCTGATGGTCTACTCAGAACTACTGCTCTAGGAAGTGGATTTCTCTGTTCCATACCCCAGGATCTTTGGGTTGGGTCGGTTGGAACTGAGAGAACCCAGCAGGGGTATTCCTTGACACTTTCTCTGAATGTGTGAAAGGGAAGTACAACCTGCTTTTGCAGCCTCTTATTCCTCCTCTCCAGTGTTTCCGTAAGCACCTCTCAAGATTCTTGTAGAAACCTGTATTGCATGTAATATTTGCTTGTTTCCACCCTGTGGAAACATCCATTCATCCATCTCCACAAAGTTTCAAACTTGTCCCTCTCAGGGGTGCTATGTTCCAGGTGAGATCCAGGACAGAGACCCATCTTGAGTTCAGGGTGACAGTTTGGTGTGTAAGCAACATGGTTCTGGTAGCAAATGCAATATTAGAAGGCCAGTTTTGGACACTATTTATAATTGCCAGCGACCATCATCTCTGTCCTCCCACACCCAGGTCCTCCAAGTGCCATTTAGGGCTGACCTTGATTCCCTGGCTGGGAAGGATCCTTTGGGTGGGCATCAGTGTTGTCTGTGTGTGACTGAGGCTGGTTGGTACAGTAGGGTGTGCAGCCTTCTCGGCTGGGACAGTAGAGTGTGTTGCCTTCCAGCTGGGACAGTGTGCAGGCATGCCAGCTGTTGGGCTACCCAGAAGATGCTCTGGTTATGTTTTCTGGTGGCTCTGATTTGGTGGAGTGATGGTGGCTGCTTCCAGCACTGATAGGGAAATGGTATGGAGTCAGATGAAATGGAGATAGTATAGCTTCATGTGACCCACCCAAAGCTTTATCAAGTTTATCTTAAGATTCATCTCCCTGAGACAAAACATTGAGGTCAGGGTGGGTGGTGGCTGTCCCCCAGCCTCAGCGGGTGTGGGATTCACCTCCCCAGTCTTTCCCAATCCAGTCCTCTCCTACCCTGAAAGAGCATCTCCTCCCTCCCTCTTCCAGGGAAGAAGTGAAAAAGACAAAACACCCTTCTAGTTCCTGTGGAGAGGGACATCACCTGGGCATTGGATGCCTGGGCAGCAGCATTTTTTTCTATTATGTCCTTGGTCACCGTGCTGCAGGGTTCACCACATCTGCTGAAACATCTACTGGGAGGGATTTTTTTTTTTTTGGTCCTTAGATCATCTTGGCTCAGAGCTGGTCACTTTTCCCAGATGTGACTCATTCCAACAGAGAAAACATGCTGCTTTTCATTTTTGACCAAGGAGAAGGCTTGTGGTGAATTTGAGTAGGTCAGTGTCTGACGCCGCTTCAGAGGTGGTCCCAAAACATTCTGTTTTCCCTCTTCAGTGAGTTACTTCAAGATTATCTCCCACCCCCCATCCCCTAGCAGGAAAGAAAGAGGAAAGGCAGACATAGCCTGGTTTTCTAAAGGGGTTACTTTGGTTCTATCTGGCTTTGAGGCATTTGAAGTTGCTCCAAATCTCTGAAGGTTTTAGGGAACTTTGAGGATATTGGCAGCTGTACAAAGGATTACTATGTCAGTCAGGACAAGTTAAATTATGTTGCAGTAACAAATAAGCCCCATATTTCACTGAATTTAGGCAATAGAGACTTCTTTATCACTCATACTACGTGTCCTATGCTGGATGACAGAGCACTTGCACAAGAGTCACCCAGGGATTCATGCAGATCCCAGACACCATATCTAATATGGCCAGTCCCTGTGCTGGAAGGAAATCAAGAAAGCCTTGATGATCCTCACTGGCATTTAAAAGTCTTGGTCACATCCATTCACAAGTCACACACCACCCTATACAGGAGAGCCAGCAGTGCAGGCTCACCGTGAACTCAGTATTGGAGAAGAGCTGGGGCAACTATCAGTGATAACCACTGCAATCCTCAAGGACATGCAGCAGTAATCAGATTCTTCAACCACACACTCCTCTAAGCTCCACTGTGTATCCGGTGTCTGTCTAGGCACTGACACTGAGAGACACACAGTCATCAAGCTTGCATTTTAGTAGGAGAAGCACACAATAAACCCACACAGGTGTAAAATGTGTATCAGGTCTTTAGTGCTTTGAAAACAAACACAGCACTTTTAGGAGACCAAAGGTGAGGAGGTTTTCCCAACCATAACATTATTTTCATTGTATCTTGTAGTGGTGATGGATGCCTTTAATCCAAGCACTCTGGAGGCAGAGGCAGGTGGATCTTTGAATTCTGAATTCGAGGCCAGCCTGGTCTATCGAGCAAGTTCCAGGACAGTCAGGCCTACACAGAGAAGCCCTGTCTTCACAAACAAACAAAAAAATCATTTTGTTGCTACTTCCTAACTGTAATTTTGCCACTGTTATGAACTGTAATGTAAACATATGTGTTTTCCAGTAGTCTTTGGGGGTTGTGACCGACAGGTTGAGAACCATTAGGTTAGACAGAAAGGCCCTTTCCTTGATTCACTTAAACCTAGGTAAATGGAGAAAAACCCGTGTCTAGGAACAACAATGTTCCAGGCTAAGGGGGGCAGCAGACACAATGTCCCCCAAACACTCATCCCAAACTCTGTGAATACAAATTTGTCCAAACATTCCCAGGTCCTACTGGCATGATGTCTGACCATTGGTAATAACAGATGTCCTTCTGTATGCTGCGAATATGTGTTGCTTTTATTGGTTGATGACTAAAGCTGTTTTGACCAATGGTCAGACAGAATATAGCTAGGTGGGAAATCTGAACAGAGTTACGGAGTTAAAAAAAAAAAAAAGCAGCGCTAGGGAGACACCATGTAGTCACTGGTGAAGCAAGATATGCGGTAACAAGCCACGGAGTTTGTGGTAAAATATAGTATAATATAGTATAAATTGTGTGCTCCTTCTACAACATTTGAAGGGAATGTCCAT